CGCTCAGGCAGCACTCGGAAAAACTGGAGTGTATACATATTGAGTGAATAACAACAAACCTAAAAAAAGGATGTTGTGGTTTACAACTTGCAGAGAGTAACAGTGATAGCGACAAAGGGGAACAGGAAATGATGGCTTGATAACAGAGTGTCATTAAACGCTGTCTACTCTTCCTCTTTCACTCTGTATGTTGCAGATTTGTTTTGTAGCTAGTGGTCGTCTCCTTTTTTCCACTGAGATTAGTTTTCTTCTGCAGCGTGGATCTAAAGCTTGCTGAGACTTCTGGGATGGACGCTTTTTCTCTCAGGCCGCCCTGTCTGCCACTCATGACCGTCAGCTGACTGCCCCTCTCCCAGTGGGCCAGACCACCTCGCTCACAAAGCCTCATTCACTAATCAGGGCTTGAGCTCACTCCCTGCTCATACAGTAAGAGTGAGTATGCTTTTAATTTCACAGTTTGGATGAGCTTTTACTGCTGCTTTTTATACAGTCACTCGCTTCAAGAATAACTCAAGAAAATGGGATTTGATCGGGTCTTTCTCGGTGCACTCTCTGTACCATGAAGAACATGCAGTAATCCATCAGCTCCCAGAAATAACAGCTGTGATAAATGCTAAGCTAATAACAACACATGAATCGCCTCATATTTCAACAAGACTTTATCCATCAATTTCAAAAAACTTAAAATAAGTGAATGTGTCCGGTAGTAAAGTCAAATGTAATTAAGTGGCCTAATAAATAAAGAAACAAGCCTAAACTCATGAAAACTCATCTCTTTAGACTCCACTTTGAGCGATTGAATTACTAACAAAGCACTTATATACTAATAAAGGACTGTCTTATCTAAAGCCAGTTGAGTAGCACTTGAAATGTTTGGCTCTATGAAACCTGATGTACTTATATGATTCTGTTTTCTTCAAGGTTGTATCTTCCTGGTCGAATGCACTTATTGTAAGTTGCTTTGGATAAAAGCGTCAGCTAAATGCAATGCAATGTAATGTAAACATTCATTTTGATATTACTAATAACATATATTCACAAGGAAAGATGTGAGAAGAGATTGGAGACTTCTTACTGCCTTTGTCCAAAAATCTGCTTACAGGCTTTACTTTACATTCTTCTGTAGCAGTGTTTCACATGTTTTAAATATATGAACATGATTTGAGTGGACTAATCCTTAAGTTTAAGGACAGAAAAGACAATCGCCAACTATTTTGTTAATCGTTGAAGTGAATTATTGGCCAAAATGCAAGAAAATGCTGTTTTCAGGCTCTTAAATATGAAGGCGTCCTGCTTTTCTCAGTTTTATATTAAATTAAACTGAATATGTCTGGCTTGTGGACTCAAGGAATTTGGGCTGCAGCGTGTAAAAGACTTTGCTTGGAAACCTGAGAGTCGCCGGTTCAAGTCCCCAAATGGACCACGCACAGACTGGTGCACTTTAGCAAGCAACAGTTAAAAGACCAGGTTCTCTGTTGACTATATTCAGCTTTTTCATCTATCATAAGAAGCATACTTTCTGTGGCATCTTCTCAACAGCGAGTTCAAGATATTATTCTCAGCCATTCTCTCCTGAGCAGACACTAGTGGAGAAATGTCTGTGAGCACTTCCTCACCCTGGTGTAGGAGAGCGTGGCGTTGCGGTGCTGCGTGTGGAACTGCAGAGTGATGAAGGCCACCTCGGGGGGGATCCTGGACACCACGGCCTGCACCGTCTCGTTCTGAGAGACGCTCACGTTCTGGAAAGTTCCCGGCAAGAAGATCACACGGTCTGCAGCAGAGAAGAAGGACCGGTCAGTCACATGATGTGATTTCATCTGATGACTGCTGTGTGCTGCTTGTAAAGCACTCAGCTGCTGTGTCACCCAATAAAATAAAACAGCAATAAATAACGAACGATAAATCTATTTGCTGTGAAACAACATGATCTTTTTTAATGGTCACAACAGCAACAATCTACCAATGAGATCTGAGAACACATTAAAAACAAATCTATGGGAAGGAGATTTACAATAAATACTAAAAGATCGATCACTAGAAAACCTTACAGTTCACTAAAGCATCTTATCAAAAGTCTTGAAGATATTTTCTCACAGCAATCATTTGGTCCTATCTGTACGCTCAACTTGTCACAGTCAGTGAACTTTCCACTGTTTTGATCTCCCTCACATATCTCTCTCATCAAAGTCAGAGAAACTGTACAACCAACTTTTTCCATTGAACTTCTACAAAGCTGCATATTATAACTCTGTAATAAGTGCAATCCTTTGTCTGATGTTATTTCATGTGTCACACGGAGAGGAGGAATGTCAGCTATGGAGCTCCAAGCTGTGCAGAATAGATTAGCTGCAGGTTACACGTGCTGCAGCCTTATCGTCTCTGAGCATTTACAGGGCACGCTCCAGATCTTTCTACCATGTGAGCAAGAGGAAAAATGTGAAGCCTTGAGTTCGTCAGAAACCATAAGAGGATATTTAATGGCTAAAACAATATTGTACTGTAAATAAAAGTGAAAAACATGAGATTATACACCACTATCAGTTACTTTTTGATGTAGACTACAAGAACAAACACTGAAACATTCAAATTAGGCATAGAACTCTGAATAATTATACATTCCTAATATTTTAATACTGGCCTAAATCAGTGGTTACTTGAGGCTTAAATCTGTGATCTGTAAAAGTCTTTCAGAATAAAGTGTGTTTGTTACTTCATCTCAACTTGATGCTGCTGACATATTTCTGTCATCTATCAAAGTGATTATTTAAATACTGTAAATATACTTGGTTTTAATACTTCATTCTACAACACACCATTTGTTTGGATTCAAAGGTCTAAAAGATTTAACAGTGTTAACTGGACTTTGATTTTTCTGTTGCACTTTGAACAGATCTGAACTTACTGTTGTTATCCTGTAAGACAGTAGGTCATTGAGTAAATATGAATGAAAAACAATGATATTATGTTGAGAATTAGAGGAATATTAACATTTATAGTAAGAATAACTAATACATGTCCTGATAAATAAACTTGTTTAATCAAAAAACTACTGACTATATGAGGTTTGAGATATATATACTAGACTTAAAAATCATTTGACACAGAGCCTGTTTGTGAGTTAATATGGGATTTAGCTGCTAGATAATGCTAGCTTAAGCTACACAACAATAACAAGTTGAGCATAGTGACACTTCAGTGATTTACATACAAACAGATATGAATCACAGAATTACCAGGTTCATGTGAATAACCAAATACTAGTCGGTTGTAGAGAATGGGAAGGATAAAAAAGAAAGCAGTGCAAATGACTGTAACTCACTCTCCATCTGAGCTTGAACTTTGCAAACCAGAAGCAGCAGCGGGCACCAAATCCAAAGAGACATGTTCCTCTGCTTCAAACAAAGCTTTTTTATCTGCAGCTTAGTAAAACCATGGGTTACATCGTAGTTTCCTGTGTTGGGGTAGAAGAAGTCCCTGCAGAGGCGACATGCTTCCCAGAGAGAGACACGCAGACAGTACAGAGGTTCGGTTCACCAACTGTCTGTCTTCTCCCTCTGCCGCTCTGCGGCTCCGACAGCTGTACGAGAATCTCGCTCTCGGTCCCGCGAGAGCTCCCCTCCCTCTCCACACCCTATTTGCTCCACACAGATTAAAGCGTGATCGGTGACACAAGGATAAATGTGATTTCATTTTTTTTAAATGGCATTGGTGGACAAAGTACTCAGATGTTTTACTTTAAATATTCTGTATAAATTGTAAACTGCTTGTGATATTGGGCTATAGGCCTATAGATAAACTTTGATTGATAAAAGTGACAGTCCTGTATACAAAATGTACTGCAGATGTATTCGCATCAGAATGTACTTACATTTATAAAAGTAAAAGTATTAATTTGGCACAACGGCAATTTCACATTGATATATGAGTTACAACTGTTTCTGGTTATAATATTTTAGTATTTAGTCAGAAAAGTTTTAGAATAAAAATAGTTCCGGTTACAGAAATGTTCTTTAACCACTGAATTAAACTCTCCTGGCATGTTGTAGTTCTGCAGCAGAAATAGAAGGTGGATGTTTCAGCAGATCCTGTATGTTGGAAAATGTGGGTAAAAAAACACATTTGGGTGGGTAAAAAACAGTACCAAAAACATGGGGTTTGTCATTTGAAAGTAAAATGAAATGAATATCAACCAAGCAGAGACCATTTCATGTTCACGGATTTATTTGAACTCAAGCCCTTCTTTTACCCATTCACGCATTAAAACATCTCAGACACTACAGACTCATGCATGCTGGCTAAATTAGCAAACAAAACAAAAGTACCAACAAAAAAAGAGGATGATGTGTGTTCACACGACATGTGTCTGAGTCCTCAGACGAGGATGCAGCATCTCCCTGTGAAGGCTCCAGGAGAAGGGATAAGATCTTCTGACTATCTGTAGGGGGAAGGATTAAGTGGTATGTGTGTGTTTGTATGTGGCAGCAGCAAGGGGGGGGGGATGTAGTAACTGTGGGCTCCCTAACTCTTTCTCAGGCTGACGTCAGCGCTGGTCAGCAACGGCGACAGTGACGTGCTCTCTGATGTTTCTTCTCTCTTCAGAACCAGGAAAGCCTCTCGACTGATTCCCAGCAGCTCTCGTAGTCCACTGTTCTCCAGCTAACAAACAAAAACATATAGCCGTACAATCAGATGGGATACTATCAACACTATTACTATCTATAAATATTGATGTGGAGCTTGCTTTTCATTTAAGGAACAGGGTCTAAATTTACATTAGTGGTTTCGAATCAATTATATCACCACATATACAGTGGGGCAAAAAAGTATTTAGTCAGCCACCAATTGTGCAAGTTCTCCCACTTAAAAAGATGAGAGAGGCCTGTAATTTGCATGCTAGGTATACCTCAACTATGAGAGAAAAAAAAAATCCTGAAAATCATATTGTCTGATTTTTAAAGAATTTATTTGCAAATTATGGTGGAAAATAAGTATTTGGTCAATAACAAAAGTTCATCTCAATACTTTGTTATATACCCTTTGTTGGCAATGACAGAGGTCAAACGTTTTCTGTAAGTCTTCACAAGGTTTTCACACACTGTTGCTGATATTTTGGCCCATTCCTCCATGCAGATCTCCTCTAGAGCAGTGATGTTTTGGGGCTGTCGCTGGGCAACACGGACTTTCAACTCCCTCCAAAGATTTTCTATGGGGTTGAGATCTGGAGACTGGCTAGGCCACTCCAGGACCTTGAAATGCTTCTTACGAAGCCACTCCTTCGTTGCCCGGGCGGTGTGTTTGGGATCATTGTCATGCTGAAAGACCCAGCCACGTTTCATCTTCAATGCCCTTGCTGATGGAAGGAGGTTGTCACTCAAAATCTCACGATACATGGCCCCATTCATTCTTTCCTTTACACGGATCAGTCGTCCTGGTCCCTTTGCAGAAAAACAGCCCCAAAGCATGATGTTTCCACCCCCATGTTTCACAGTAGGTATGGTGTTCTTTGGATGCAACTCAGCATTCTTTCTCCTCCAAACACGTCTAGTTGAGTTTTCACCAAAAAGTTCTATTTTGGTTTCATCTGACCATATGACATTCTCCCAATCCTCTTCTGGATCATCTAAATGCTCTCTAGCAAACTTCAGACGGCCTGGACATGTACTGGCTTAAGCAGGGGGACACGTCTGGCACTGCAGGATTTGAGTCCCTGGCGGCGTAGTGTGTTACTGATGGTAGCCTTTGTTACTTTGGTCCCAGCTCTCTGCAGGTCATTGACTAGGTCCCCCCGTGTGGTTCTGGGATTTTTGCTCACCGTTCTTGTGATCATTTTGACCCCACGGGGTGAGATCTTGCGTGGAGCCCCAGATCGAGGGAGATTATCAGTGGTCTTGTATGTCTTCCATTTTCTAATAATTGCTCCCACAGTTGATTTCTTCACACCAAGCTGCTTACCTATTGCAGATTCAATCTTCCCAGCCTGGTGCAGGTCTACAATTTTGTTTCTGGTGTCCTTTGACAGCTCTTTGGTCTTGGCCATAGTGGAGTTTGGAGTGTGACTGTTTGAGGTTGTGGACAGGTGTCTTTTATACTGATAACGAGTTCAAAAAGGTGCCATTAATACAGTTAACAAGTGGAGGACAGAGGAGGCTCTTAAAGAAGAAGTTACAGGTCTGTGAGAGCCAGAAATCTTGTTTGTTTGTAGGTGACCAAATACTTATTTTACCAAGGAATTTACCAATTAATTCATTAAAAATCCTACAATGTGATTTCCTGGATTCTTTCCCCCCATTCTGTCTCTCATAGTTGAGGTATACCTAGGATGAAAATTACAGGCCTCTCATCTTTTTAAGTGGGAGAACTTGCACAACTGGTGGCTGACTAAATACTTTTTTGCCCCACTGTACCATCAGTCTTACTTAAATTCATTATCTCCGTGACTTCTCTGCCAGTTTTGCCCTTAGGAAGCTGGACATTTGGCACAGCTGTCAAGTGTTTGAGGGGTTGTGTGTGTAAATGCATTAACACATGGTTGAATATATAAACATGGTCGCGGCTATTGCCATTTTGTGCATTTACATATCATCTTGGTCACAGTCTGGGTTCACAACTGGCTTATTAAACTGAATGGAACATTTAGGTACAGAGGGAGATGCAGGATTTTGTTGTCTCCACATTCGCCGTTTCTTTCAAATTCACAACATAACATTATAGACTGGGTACTTAAAATGTGAAGGGATTTAACAGGGTTTTATGTACATCCAGAATGAGGGGGCTTCTGTCATTTTAACCAGTGCTGTCTGTTGATTGTTTTGGTCATAGTTCTTTCACTACCACCTATTTAACAATGTTACTCTCCCTAGACTAGATTTTTCTGGAATTTCATGCGCTGTGTTAGTTAGCGAGAACAAACATGTGTTTATCAAGTGCTTAGGATTTTGTGTTTTTGTGTAAAAGAACCCACCAGCAAGTGTATGTGGACAACTGTTGGAAGTGCATGTAGAAGTATGGGGGGACATGTTTTCTTACCTCGAGCTGTTTAATCCTCTCCTCGTCTTCACATATTCCCCCCTCGTCCACCTCTATCGCCTTCCTCATCACAGAGGCCATCTCATTGATCTTGTCTATGTGTGCCTGCATTTCCTACAAAGATGACATTTCTTTTTTAGAAACACTCCCTTTATCACTGGAACATGTTCAATATTTTCTACATGGACCCTTTTTTAAACATTTGCTGCTGCTGTTAATTTGACAAATGCAATACACTTTCTGAGGCTGATGCAAATGCAATTTCAATAGGCCTGAATGATAAACAATAAAAAATAAAAATAAAGTTCTTAATATCAGAGACAGTGTTAGTAGGGAAAGTGTATATATCCTTTTTTGTGTTTATGCTAAAGTTAGTCTTTAGTTGCTTAATGCAGACAAGTTACAAGTGTCACATGTATTGTCTAATATTCCCCAAATGAGAGGGCACTTAAAAGAACAAGTGGGCCTCCCTGACCGTGGTGTGCTGCTCTTTCAGCTGAGTCACGATGGTCGGGTCGTCCCTCTTGCTGGCCATGAGCAGCCTGAACACCTGCTCCCTGTATTTGGTCATGATGAGCTCTAAGGCAGACTGGTGTTCCTCTAACGACGACCGTAGCTCTGCAGAAATAGGGAACATGGGGTTGTTTTGCGTACTACATTTATTTTGTGTTAATTAAAACAGATCCAAAGCTAAGTTAGTATCACAAATTAACTGCGTACCTTTGTTGTCCTGCTGGAGGTCTCTGATCTGGCGGTTTTCCTGTTGGATTCCTAGGACCAGACTAGAACGAGGACGATGTCGGGCCACCTGGTTCAATGAGTCGATCTCCTCCTGGTACTAACAACAAGAAACAACTCAGATTAAATAACTGGATGATTTTAGCCTAAAGAAAAATCCCAAAAATGGTCAGGCTTTGAAATCAAACTTGAAAAACTCTCTTTAAAGTGATTTGCCAATGTTTTATACACCAGTATGTCAATGTTTTGTAGTTTGTTTCAGTAGTTTTGTGTTGCAGCATCTATAAAAACATTTACATTCAACGCGACACCATACCTGTTGCATGGCCTCCACTCGCTTGTTGAGCGATGTTGTCTGTTCAATTAACATCTCTGCAGCATTGTCGTGGTTACGAAGCCTCTCCACTAAGGATTTGGCGTCTGACAGGACCTTCTCTATAGTACAGTTCATGCCTGAGGAAAAACAAGTCATTATTAATATGAAGGATTCAATATGAACCTTGCCAATGCCAACACTGCGTGTAAGCTATCAATGACATTTTAAATTGTGTTGTAAAAGCCAGGCTAATGTTCTCCAGTCTCATTTAATGACTTTACTGAGTTGGCTCAAAGTTCATGTAAATATACCTTGTGGACTGTATTTTATCTTTTAATCTTTTAAATTGAGCCAGATAAAGCAATGAAGGACTCATCAAGCTATCCTTCATCACTTACTGATCTCAAGGTTAGATTCCTACCAACAGAAACGTAAGCTCCCTATGTGTACACCTTTAGTAAGAGTAACATTAATTGCATAGGACAATGTCCAGAATAAAGTACAAACACATGAATTCAGAGAACTAACCAAAAACACCATTCATATTGTTCATGTAGCATTTAGCTCGTTGCTAAACCTACCCTCTTCCTCGTAACATCTTGAATGACAGCTGCTGTCAGTTTATTAGCTTAAGCTGACATGTCCTTATTTTAAGGGGTTATATTTATTGAGAGGTAGTACGGAATACGTATCTTTGCTGTAGTAAACAGTATGGTTGAGTATACTAGCTAGGTGTAACATAATATTACCAGCAGCTAACTTATTAGGTGACTTATTAACCACACTTATAATGCAATGACACACATGTTGCTTTTACTGGTAGACTCTGCTCGACTGACATTTCTGACAGTTCTTTTAAAAGTTAGAATATTAGTAAAAGAAGACCCTCTCGTACCTGCAGAACTCAAAGTGCAAGACATTGTAGTTTAGCTAGTCCGTTACTTCCTGTTGATGTTTAGTAGCTAATACTAGCTACAGGCTAACATGAGTTCCCATCAAGGAACTACATGTAACGTTAGTGGTTCTGATGCAGCGTTAACACATGGAATTGACAGCAGACATCCACTTGTTCAAACACTTTACTTGTGTGCTGTAAATTCCGTCTTGAGATAGTTTAGGTGGTTACAGGCGCTGGTTACAGCTATCCGAATGATAAAGCTTCCGAAGTAACGTCCAAATCCCGCGATGTTTGTTTTTATTTCACGGGCATTCTCGCGATAGTTTAGCCAAAATACAGAAAACATGGCGGACAGGCTAACACAACTACAAGACGCTGTCAATTCGGTAAGACACATTTGCGTGTTTTAAACTACAATTTACACATAATAACTTTATGTTGACTGTTAATATTATCTCAAGAAAGTAACTGGTCAGTCTAGTAGCCCCATTGTTTTTGAGTAACCGCTTAACATCGCTACATTAATGTGAGCTGATGACCAGGGCCTGTAACGTTAACCAACAACTGGTTCAACTTCAGGTTAATGCACATTGCACACAGCATAAGTTCGTGTAAAAGCATTGGAGCCACCATTCTTACTAGCTAACAGGGTGTTGAATACTTCCTATAATTCATCATGTATGTATATAGCTCCCTGTTTGAATTAATGTGATATGTAAATGTCCCCTCTGTAGGACGAATAAAGGGATTCTGATTTTGAATCCTGATGTTTTTGTGTGTGCAGCTTGCAGATCAGTTTTGCAATGCCATCGGCGTCCTGCAGCAGTGTGCTCCTCCTGCCTCCTTCAATAACATCCAGACGGGTATCAACAAAGACCAGCCAGCAAACCCAACCGAAGGTCCATTATTTAAGTCACTTATCTTTGTTAGTTACTTTTCTGTCTCTGTCTTTTGTCATTCTATCTACCTTCTCAACAATTTCAGGACTACATCATTGATGCACCAAACGAATAATCCTATTAAAAAGACATGGGGTATTGTGAGATGTGACTAATGCATAATATACTACAGCCACCTGTAATTTCCCTTAATATTTTCAGTCTTATCTTTTGCTGAAGATTTACAGGCATGGAATTAAATTAGCATCTCCCCCCTGCCTAATACAGGTTAGCTGTGGCAGGTCAAACGTGCCACCATTACATATAGTTTTTCCTATTATTAAGACATTTATTTTTAATGAGCAATTCCTTAATTACAACTAGTCAGGGAAATGTTCCATATTTCTACAGACTCTGCTTAAAGTAGATAGAAACGTCATTTATTCGACATTAGGATGACCTTTTAAATGTTTTTAATCCTCATCCAGAATATGCCCAGCTATTTGCAGCCCTGATCGCCAGAACAGCCAAAGATGTGGATGTACTCATCGACTCTCTGCCCAGTGAGGAGTCCACTGCAGCTCTGCAGGTCTGTACATTCCCTAACATCTGTCACACACGCATTTCACTTACACATTCCATGGTAAAAACATAGAAAAACCGAGTTAGTATTTCATGCTTCCTGTCAGCAGAGGGAGCCAGCTGAACGCTTGTACAGCTGCGTGTCTGTCTGCTCTTAAAACAAATTATTATAGTCATGGACTATATATATATTTATTTTCTAAATCTTGCAAAACTTTCAAAAATAAATATATAAACTATAGATTAAGGTTTGCTTGTTTAAAGACATTTTAAGAACTCTTAAAAACTATTTTGCCCTTGTGATGAACCTGAAGAAGAATATTTCACATGGTTTTCGGGGTCAGTGATTTATTTTTTATTGCATTTAATTTAATTATAGCTTTTTATTCTCAATAAAGATAGAGAAGAAATGTTGCCTCTATTTCTGTGTTGTTCCGCTTCCTGAACATAGAACGGTATATTTATGTAGTGACTGTTATAAATAGTATTCCGCTGATGATGAGTTCCAATATTTTTAAGCACTGATCTTTTACACTACATCCAAAGTAACACCAGTAGGAGAGTTCAACAACTGAAATCCAAATCAGTTGAGAAGTGTTTTTTGTTTAAGTTAATTCCCCCTCTGTGGGACTAATAAAGGTATTCTGATTCTGAAGATCATTAAGAAAAAGATAATAATGGTTTTATTTTTTAGCTGAATGCTACATTTTCCAACACAATCTCCTACAACAATACAAAGTCAGGACCTTGGTTATAATTATCTTCTTTTTTTTTTAAAGGATCTCCTTGATTTTTTTGATGTGTTTTTCAGGCTGTATATAAATGTAGGTATTTAAAAATCTGAATCAGAATACCTTTATTAATCCCACAGAGGGGAATTCACGTATGAATAAAAAAATAAAAAAACATACGGAAACTCAAAATAGAAGGTAATAAGAACATAAATTACTAAATGATGCAGTAGCAACTAAACAAAAAACTGAAACTCTTCATATGCGTATACAAAGGTATTGCCTAGTAATATTTGGCAAAGTTGTGTCGGTGCTGCATATTTTCTTGTATTGCCACACCTAGAACAGAGGTATCACAGTTGTGACGTGTGACATAATCACTACAGCTCTAAATGATGAGGCTTTAAAACAAATGATTGTTTGCGCCACAACTATATTTGTATAATAAAGTTGTGCTGAATGTTCCCTCCATCAGGCGGCCAGTCTGCGGCAGCTGGAGGAAGAGAACCACGATGCAGCCGCCCGTCTGGAGGAGGTGGTGTACCGCGGGGACATGCTTCTGGAGAAGATCCAGAGCGCCCTGGCTGACATCGCCCAGTCTCAGCTCCGCACCCGCAACGGAGCACCCCCCCAGCCCTCCCCGGCCGAATCCTGACCCGGACAATAATATGTCTTTTCCTTCATTTTAAAACTTTATTTTTACCCTTTTTCAAACCTTAAAAAACTCCAAAATATGCGGAAAATGCCTGTAAAGGTAATTTGAAATGTAAGATAATTGAGTTGCTTATTGAGATGGTATTGTCCCACAGCAGCCCCCAGTCTCAAGGCAAACACACGCTGAAAAAGGTCTTCACATACTCACTGTTTCATATATGGACCTTACTGCTGGTGCCAAGATACTTGTGTATGCTCCAAATGGCCATCCTGTCATGTTTTTTATGTTGTACATTGGTTAAGTCTGTTTTGTATATTTATGAATGAAATGATATTCTTATTTTGGAGTATCTGTACTGAAAAACCTGGACACTTTGCAACTAACAAACACTCTCAGCTCATTGTAAATCTGAGGTGTTGTTTTTTTAATAAAGCTTGAAAAAACACTTTTGAGGAACTCACGTCTGGCCTTAGTCTATTTCATGACATTTCAGTATGTCATAAGTTGGTAAAAAAATAGCATGGGGGGGAAAATGACTAGCTGCTGAAGGCTTTAATGGGGAATAGGACTGCTGAAAACAATTCAAGATTCAGTATGCAAAGTGAGAACATTTATTCCCTGGGATTATTTCAGACTGAACTTTATAAAGCTTGGGCTGCAGGCCAGAAAGTCTATAACCCAAATCTAAATAAAAACAGACTTGTCTGCTGGACACCACACCATGACGTGTTAACAGGGTGCACCCTGCACCTCTGTGCATGATGTCCTCGTGGCTCATAGAAAGCACTCAACCCATCCAGAAAAATGAGATTTATGGCACAGAAAAACAGCCCGAGGTATCTTTTGCTCAACACAAGTTTGTTGGTGGTGTTACAATCGTGTTATCTTCTGTTTTCTGTTCTATTTAATATTTCGTTAGGCGAATTGTAGGCATTTCTAAGCATCCTTGCTGGTTGATAGGAGGAAACAAGTCCGTTTCCTGTGGAATTTCTAGATTGCACAGAATGAAGACTAAATCTGCAGTATCGAGTTTAAACAGTGAACATATTTTAAGTTTTGTTTTTCCTCTTAGAATATTCACAGAATATAGCTGTGGTGTGTTTATCAGTGGCACACGATTATGTTTTAAGTTATCCTCTCATCTTCTCCTGTATTGTCAGAAGGCACATATAGTTATATTATAAAATATGTGGTTTAGATTATAGCTATTCATGTTTGTATTAGTGATTTATTGATTTTTCTTATATCTATTATCAAAAAACTGCACATTTCTAGGTTTGATCACAATGTGACCTTAGTTGCCCTCTTGTAGTTCCTATTTTGTGTGAAAGAACTGATTTGTATTTGACAGTAATGTTTGTGTAATATGATACTAACACAGTATTATTTCTAATATCATGTTTTATTATAGGTTTGCGCTAAGCATAATGAATAAAATTAACTACTGAGGCTACAGTCCAGTCTTTCATAGCTGCATGCAAATGTTTGCTAGCCAAATGAACGCATCCCTTACAGGGCGGTTTAAATCTTCTCATTGGCTGAAGCACATGTCACTTTCAAGTATATTGCACAATGATTGGCCACTGTTAACCACGTTTCTCTTTCCTCATTCGTGATAGGTTCTTTCAAACGTCAATCAAATGCTTGCGTACGCCGTTGCGTGCCCAGCACGTCTGATGGATGAGACCAACGGTCCCAGGAAGCAGCTCTGCTTATTCCTTATTTTATAGCGATAAACACAGGGAATGTACGGAATGTTGAGGTCAGCGGGAACAAATAATGGAATAAAATAAAGTAAAGAATTGTGTCAGGTTAGCTTGCCGTCAACGTCAGGATTTCTGTTATGATTTGGCGTTGATTTCGGTGTTGTTTACTGGGCTGAGAGTTCATCTGAGGGGATAACGAGCCTAATATTGGGCAGAAAATACACATTATATTTCTCTTATATCGAGGGGTGGCGGCCAGCCGATAGTTAACTCTGGAGCCGGAAACGGAGGTAAGTCAATACATTTACCGCAGAATGCTCCCTATATATATGTATGCTGTATATAATATAGCGGACAAATAGCTAGCTAACACAACACACAGCAACAAAATGTCGTATTTCTGTATATAACATGAATAGTATCTAGTAGTATGTCGAGTGTGTTGGGAGCAGTTAACCAACGTTACATGTAGTAAAAGCCCTAGTTAAAATCAGTGGTGTAATGTAACTAAGTCTACATTTACTCAAGTACTACTACCTAAGTAAAACCTATAGGTACTTGTACTTCACTTGAGTATCTTCAAATTATGCTACTTTACTTAACACATTATATTATAGGTTAAGCTAAACAATAGTGTATAAAGTCATTCAAATAAACCGAGTGCAGCATTGAAGTGATGAAGACATAAATGCAACAATAAGTCTTATACAAATAATTTAAACATATCTGGTGCTTGAAATGGCTTTTTTTCACAACTAGTACTTTTACTTTTGGTAGTTTTTTAATGCTAATACTTTTTTACTTTTACTGAACTACAATTTAGAACGGACTTTTACTTGTAACTAAGTATTTCTTCCATTGTAGTATTCCTACTTAAGCAAATAATCTCTGGTTAAAATACGTTTTACAGTGGCTTACTACAAAATGTAATGTTTAGCACATAATATGTTTCATAATGTGCTAATATAGTGCATAATACATATTAGCATAGTCCCTCAAGAATTGTTAGTTCAATACCCCTTTGAATTTTTTTATGTAGTTAATGACTACTGAAACTACAATACATGTTGTTTTACTATTTACTATTGCTTTTTTCTGTAATTGAACCTCTTTAAACACCAAATTCTCTCTGAATATATGTTAAATTATTTTTTTAGTAGGGTATTTGTGTAGTTTATGTATAACCTGTGAGTTGTGAGCACTTTTTTAAACAATCACATTTTTAGCTGGTATGTCATTTGTATCAATTATACTTTGTTATAATTTACCATCACAGGTACATTAACAATTCATCTTTTTTTCTTCTTTTTTTTACAAAAGAGTTTAAAGTAGCTTTAGTTAAACAAACTAGGTTTGTCTCTTTGGTAGCTTAGCTGTAGTTTGACTTCCTCCAGTGTAAAGTCATTGGTAGCTTATAAAGCTTTTAAGGGGCTTAAAATGTTTCAATATTTCAATAATCGTCCTAACAAGAAGACCCTACTGCATGTGTAGCTTGTTTATGGCTGCCTTAATGATGATGATACTGTTCTTTTGGCCATTTATTTCCAAATTCGCAGCAATTAATTTATTTTTGTGTGTGTGAGCCCCATTCCTCTCCCTGGCATCATGACTGAGCCCTTTCATTCAGAGTGGGATAGGTTTCCTGTCCACCCACTTACAGTGCTTTAAGGGTGGAGTGTGTTTCCATACACACACCATTTTTACACGTATTCAGTTAGATGAAGAAACACTATGTACACTATAAGCTTGTTGTAAACTCTATTTGTAGATCACAGTTTTGGCAGGTTGTCCACTCATTAGGCTGCATGCTTATTTTCCATGTATGGTGTAGTGTTGTTTGTTTAGCTAGGCCAGGGGAGGATCTGTTTCACCTCGAGCCAAACTGAATTCCTCAGTCTTAAGGCATTTTCCACTTAGACGGGGAAAAAAGCAAAAGGCATCCATGACCTCATATGTACACATTGATTTCCATTGTGCAATATCCCTGAAGCAAATTGATAGACATTAGAATGAGGGATTTTATAATACTTAAATTGAAGGCATTGATGAAATACAAGATGTTTTTTCCAATACAAGTGGTTATTCCGATTGAATAGCCTTTAACCGTCATTCGATCTCTACAGACCACAGAAAAACTATTTAAAAGCTCTGAACAATTGAAAAAAAAGAAATCAACACATGTTCAAACACAAGTTAATGTGCGTACTAAGTGACTGAATGTGAAGTACCATGTCAACTCCATGAATGGAGAGAGGTTACCTATCTGGTGAATCCTTTGAGACGTATAGATGTGGGCTGTGTAAAGTTGTGGCGTGGTGTAATATTAGAGGAAGTGATATAGGGTTTTCAACAACCATACATGTCAGAAACTGCTGTTTTCAGCCTCTCCAATATTGAGATTAGCTGCTTTCCTTTTAAAGACAATGTCGGATGCATTTATAGACATACAAATAATCAGCACATAAATCAATGAATTGTAGTTGCGGCACAATATGTAAAGCTACATAGTTGATGTGCATCTTCTCAGAAAAGTTACATCACATGGGGTTTACATGGTCCATCTGAGACCACAACAACTGAATTAATACTACTTAAACATTGTCTTTTTGTGGTTGGTCCTCACTGGGGTCCCCATTTACACTGAGCTTCCTGGTGTTGCGCTAGGGCTGCTTGATTATGGCAAAAATCATAATCTCGATTATTTGGGTCAATAATTGTAATTGCGATTATTCATTGACTTTGAAAACATCAATTTAATGGAGAACAAAATGTGAACAGTATGTTTTTAACAGTTGATTACCCTGAACTTTAAGTGTAATTTAACTGAAAAACCAAACAAAAAAAAAAGTATTAAAAAAAAAAAAAAATCATAATAAAAAAATAATCGTTTTATTTCGATTACGTTGTTTTCGTAATCGTTGCAAGCCATAATCGTAAACGCGATTTAAAATACGATTAATTGAGCAGCCCTATGTTGCGCTCAGGTAAATCTGTACAGGTCTTTGTATCTCAGATCCCTTTTTTCTCGTGTCCTTGTTTTTTCTCTTAAACCTTCCTAGTCGCAGCAATGATTCATAGATTTTTCTCATAATTCCGGAAGCGTCTTGTTGTTGGAGGGTTGTTGGGCCTGTGACTAGAAGAGAAATGGCTCCTATCTCTGAGCTGCTGGGCTGTTTAATCTCTGTGAGAGCTAATCAGGCCCATTCATACCGACTGATGGCGTACTGGTGACACACACTCCCTCTTCCTGTCCCAAAACTCTTTTCCCTTTTGTTGCAGTCCTCCACCTCGTGTGTGTTTTTTAAGTCATTTCCAATGCATTCACCAAGTCAAGCATTGACAAGTGCTGTTCTGCTGTGACGCAATTACGCAAATGATTGGTGGGCCTCCTCAGGTGACTTTGGTTTGTAAAGATCTGTGGCGATGTCACTGATTAGTCCCTGGAATTAAAGCCTGCAGACCACGAGGCATCGAGCACATGTTCTGATCTGGGGTCAGAATATAATTTCAGTACCAGGGACCATAGCTCCATACCTCTTTGAAATTCAAAAATGGAGCACACTTGTTTGTCTTGTACACGGAAGGGAAAAGTAAAGCACTAGATGATTTTTCATTGAGTCTTGGAGACTTCATTAACATTATATTTCAAAAAAGGCACTCAATCAATTTGTCATACATGCAACATCTGTTTTAACACTTTTCAAAACCTAAAAAAACTGGTTATAGACGGTCTAGTGAAAGATACTTTTT